TGATCTATAAAGAAGCACTCTTTGCAGTGAGAACGGCATTGGAAAGCCTCCGCCCTATCTCCATTATTTTATTTTTAACTTCGTGACGTCTGATGTCGAATCTCTGACTAGTGCAACCAGGGTACAGGAAGGAAAACAAAAAGGGCACGAAAAGACCTTAGAGAAATTAGTAACCTCTATCAAAACCATCGAAGAAGAACGAAACGAACAAGCAAAAGAATTAAAAAAGCTAGGTATGCAGCTAGGTATGCTCGCTACCACAGATCACGACGACAAAATCCAGAAATCACGGATGACGAAAGCGAATTGCATACGGCTATGCACGTACCACCTGATCCTCAACCAACCACATCGAAAACCACTAGACACATAGACGCCTCTTTATCACCCAAAGACGCACTCCTTACATTGAAACTCTCTCGGGAAGGACGACATAGAAGAAGAAGAATTCATCCGAACAGTGAAATTTGCACAAACTAGAGTTAACGACCCAGATTCACTTTTGAAAATGATTCTACATAAAGAATCAGTGGTCACTCTAAACGAAGTATTCGTTTCTGCCACATATCCACTTACGAAGAATTGTACAACGCCCTTCGAACTCGACTATCTGTACCAAATGTTCGAAACTAGCAGCGAAGGCTGCTATTATGTGTCACGAGTCAACCAACTGGATAAGCGTGTTGCCTGTCGCACTGTTGGGCCTACGCACGTGCCTCAAGGAAGATCTGAAGTTTTCTGCGGCTGAATTAGTGTATGGTACCATCCTCAGAGTTCCTGCTAAGTTCTTCAGCCACGAGGAGCCTGACAGCAATCCGCACATATTCCTGGAGGAATTTCGCCTCCTCATATGAAAGCTGCGACTGACGCCTACCGCACACCACATTCGCAGGAGGGTCTTCCACCATAAAAATCTTTATACCTGCACCCATGTGTTCGTTCGACGGGATGATGCGAAGCATCCCCTGCAGTAGCCATACTCAGGTCCACTCAGGCCCACTTGTAAAGCGTATTTCAGACCGTGTTTTCACAAAACGCCGCGTAAAGTGACTGGGCGCCCAGTCCTCTTTCAGAACCAAAACAGACTTTAATACTTCAACACCAAAAAAGACTTTAATACTTCTTCCTCACTCAAAATTGAGATTTGCGACAAAGTAGTAATTAAGTTTACATTGCGTTCAATGTAGTCTTAAATTATTGTGTAGATTTCCTTACTTTTTTTCTTAGGGGGGAGTGTTGTGGTTTATACGTAATCAATGGCAGACACGTAGTTCCACAAGCGGCCACTCGCAGTCGCTAAACTCTGTTTCGTCAATGTGTGCAAAACACCTGACCTATATCGTTGTCTTGTTATTTGAACTTCAACCTTTAATTTAGTAAGAAAATTGTATCGATAAGTTATTTAATTTCATTTTGATCCCAATTGAAAAAAGGAAGAACAAAAAATGTATTTCGGACATATTTTGTTGTATTATTTTCGAAAAGACAGGAATAACAGGATAGTATAGCAAGCATGTAAGAAGTTATGTGCCGTATATGGAAATGAAGCCTTAAAAAAAAGTCATTGTCAAAATTGATTTGCCAAATTTCGTTCTGGTGATTTTTCACTCAAAGTTAAAGTAAATGAGAGCCATATCAAGGCCATTATCGATTCAGATCATCACAGCACAACACGTGAGATTGCAGAGAAACTCAATGTATCGCATTATCATACATTCAAAAAGAATGAAAGCAGATTGACTACGTTAAGAAGCTTCCTCGGAAGCTTAACGAAATTTATTTAACGCAGCGCATTAGCATTTGCGATTCACTTCTGAAACGCAACGAAATTGAACCATTTCTGAAACATCTGATTACTGGCGACGGAAAGTGGGTAGTTTATAACAACGTTAATCGAGTAATATCGTGGTTGAAGCAGGATGAACCAGCCTAGACAACATCAAAAGCTGAGATTCACCAGAAATAGATTATTCTGTCAGTTTGGTGGGATTGTAAAGGAACTCGGCACTTTGAACTTTTACCAAAAAACCAAACGGTTAATTCAAATATCTACGTTTAACAATTCACCAAACTGAGAGATGCAGTTCAAGAAAAACGGTCAGAATTGGCAAATCATAAGGACGTCGAACAGATCTGTTCCTGTCCCCTTACACGATTTAGAAAACATATAATGGCTCAAATAGCTCAAATAGCAAATCGACAAAAAGTCTTTCAATTAATCTAGATGACTCTACTCCATATAAAAAGACATTATAGTGGTCTTTGGTAATGCTCTCCATACATATTACTTTTAAAAATTTTCGATGTCCATTAGAAATGCCTTCCTCATATCATAATGAAATGTTTCGTCATCAACTTAAGTATTCTGAGATGGCTGGTTGAAGTAGTTCCCCTCATCTCTAAAATCCTACATCCGCTTTGTTCAACCAAGTATGCCACCTAGAATTGTGTCCCCAAATTATTTACAGACCACATGGTCATTGTACAAAAGTTGTACAATATTCAGAAGAACATACTATGTAAGAATTGGCTTCTTGCCGTTGTGCTTTTTTTTATCGTGACATGAAGATCAACATGAATTCTTTTTAACTGTAATAAGCCAAATTTAATGTTGTAATTATATAGAGAGAGATTTGAATACTCATTGTGAGTAAGAAGTATTGAGGTCTACAAGTAGAAAAAGGAAACTAATAACAATTGTGATATTCATTAAATGGTTCTTAATGTAGGTAATTCTAAACTGCTGTCTGGTAAAATGAGCACAATAAATATCTCAATAATATATATATTATTAATTTTTTTAAAATTTCGTTTCAACTATTTTTGTTCCATACGTCAAATAGTACACAAGTAATTTAGTTGAAAGATTTAGCAGAACCATCCCCTACATTACTAACTATTATATAAAGTGAGTGATTTAACTCTTTGATCTCAACTTTTCTTGTAAACTACATATCGTATTAAAGAGTGTTCCGAACAAAGGTTGTCTAGTATATAAAGAGGAATACACACATAACAAATTAATTTTTTGCTGTTTTCTTTTTTTATCAAAATATGAGGGCAACCTTAAGTTATTTAACTATGATGTGCTACATTTAATCAGAAAGATTCTTTATAACAAACAACTCTTTGTTCGAAATATTTTTTACACAACATACAGTTGTTTACAAAAAAAATTAAGGTGAAAGAGTTACATGACTCACTTTGCATATCATTTGTATTAACAACCGTATTAACATATAACGTTTTCTTAAATGTACGATAAATTCTCTATCATTAACGCTCACATTGTACACAATGATAGACAATTTGGGAAGAGGAGATACGATTATTCGAACCTCACGGCTCGTTGTTATAGTTACCGATTGTCAACAACTATGAAAACAAGCCGCAAGGCTCGAATAATCGTATCTTCTCTTTCCAAATTGTCCATTTTTGTGCACAATCTGAGCGTCAATTGGGGAGACTTTATTGTATATTTCAATTGTTCCTGGAAATAATCGAAGATCTCAAATACTTTAAGATAATTTAAAATGTAATTTTTAGCATACATTTTTATTCTTACAATAAAACAGAATTTCTCTGTTTTCGATTTATTTATAGTTTTAGCTAAATAAAAGTAAGAGTCATCCTAATTATATAAGATTCAGCATAATCGTATAAGATGTTTGTTTTTATCCATCAAATTTTCCATTCAACATGTGGAATTTCCTATCTGACTGTACACGATATAAAATAATTAAATAACTTATAATAAATTACATGTCTTCCTAGGCAACGGAAGTCGGACATGTAGTACACGATAGTGTACGATAAATGACAAGATATCCTTAATACCGTATGCACATTTGGAAAATTCATAGTAGCAAGTCAATATAAAATATACGTACACAAAGACTAAGATAATAAATATAGTAAAACGTACAATCGCAAAAATTCATGCAAGTAAAGAAATATTAAAAATATTCGCAAGCCAAATAAGCGCCATTTTCTGTCACCATTTTCTCCGTATAAAAACAATGTCTCACCTGTTTTGTATACTATTATATTTCGCTGGAGTAACTAATATACAGTATGCTCTCATTACATAAGGAATAGAGCACAACGTTCGAAATGAAGAAAACTTGCAGAAACAATGCTCAAAGCTCATAAAATATTTGTCCTGGGATGCCTTCTTTTCAACTCATTGTTCAAGTAACAGAGTTTAAATATTTTATTAACCGTTATTAATAGACTGCGGATCATCATGCGAATTCCCAATTCCGATAATGCGTGTTATGAAAATCTGAAGAATGGAAGCAGTTCTTGCATAAAGTAGCAAAATTCTTTAAGGCCAGCATAAAGTGGTACTAGAATTAATTTCAGTTGATAAACTTGTATACACTATAAATGCATAAAGACTCTTTAACACGTTCCGTGCCACGTGTACCATCGATGGTACACGCTTGCATGTTTACTTAGTGAACTGAACAAATTGTTTACAAGAAATTTAGAACCGAAGAATCAATTTCCACCGCAAGAATGGGCGTTGATAAGTTTTTGTTACGTTGTTATGTGTACGAGAATTAATAATTGCACGTAATACATCAAGTTTTAGTAAAATATCAAAGTGTGAAGATTCGAGTAAAAAAAGCTCGGCACGGAACGTGTTAAATAACGAAACTAATTGAAATATTTATCAACTCGGATTTTAATAGCTCTCCCTTGTAAGCCGGAATAATATACTGACACCACAAATTTTTGGCTCACGTAGAAGTTCTGTTGTTTTGGAAAATACAGGTCGATTGCAATAGTAAATGAAGAACATGAAAGAATAGTAAAGTAATATAATTTCATTGCGTGAATCATTTCGCAAATTCGAATTTGCATAGTGAATGTTGAGACATCGAAACATGACATTTTTATGAATGTGCACGTTTTCTTTGAATTATAAACGCTACATCAAAGATCCGCAGACTGTTAATAATTAGTATAATTTGAAATCTGATGAGACAAGTATATATTTACGAACTTTAACAGTTTATTCCTGTTTTGCTAATTCACACTCGAACTTGTGTGCAACGAAACATCAATAAGAAATACACCGAAACAAAAAACCATATTATACCCGTTTCTGTCATTCGAACGCGATAAAACTGAATTTCTCTTTCCAGGTCAATAACAGTTTGCCCCAAAATTTTCAAAACACCATTCAGACCAGAAATCTATGCTTTCACGGAACCACTTCATTCGACAAGATTGGATAGGTCTACACGTAAACAAAAATGGGTCTAAAATGATTCTGTACACATATCTATTCACACTATCACAATAAATAAAACAAAACGAATGTCTAATCTATTATACTAGTGTTTTCATTATACTAATACTATACTAATGTTTCGGTACAAAACTCCATCCAATATCATTCGAGAAGAGACTGAAAATTCTTGGCGATTGATCCAGATCATTAATTTATTAACTCTATAAAAAATATAGACATTATGCCGAATTGGTATTTAAATTACTTATCGTTCGCCTCTCAATCTGATTTCGAACGTACACGTTGAAATAGATTTCCACATCATCAGTTTATTCGTCATTGTCTGATTCACACATATAAGGTGATCCAGAACTTCTCTTACAACCGGAAAGTAGTGATACCTGAGATGATTTAAAGTAACTTTTTAGTTAGCGAAAATGTTGGTTACAACTTCTTTAACAAGTTATTAACGAAAAACACGAAGCAATCACAGCAAGTGCTACTGGCGCGTCCTGATGCGAAAACGGGCTCTGATTGTTTCGTGTTTCTCGTTCATAACTCGTAAACAACGCCGTAGATTGCATTTTCGCAAAGGATCACCTCATGAGTCATTCATTTCCGGTTTTAACGGTATTTTCGGGGTACTCTGTACAAGGAAAATTAATTTCTTAATTTTCGAGTTTTACGGTTCTCTTTGTGTGTCTATTTCTCTTTGTCCACCTGTCCTCCTCTCTTTTTTCTCTTTCTCGAATGATCTATAAGATCGTTTTCAACGCAACTGATCTAGCAGTGCGATCATGGCATTGAACAATGTAAAACTTGAACTAGCATTGTTGCAATATTAACTTCGAGAACGATGGTGGTAAGCTTACTGTCTACGACACCGTAGTCACGCATGCTCCACGTGGCACGTGTCTTAACAACGCATCGCGGGGGATGCAAAAATCAGAGAGAAGCAACAGTATAAGGGAAGAAAATGTAAAAGGGTTCGCAAATAAAGATCGAACTGATTAAGGAAAATAATAACGGTACTCAGATAAATAATGTGCGTTAATATTTAAGTGCTGGTAATACCGGTCGTGTAAATAACTTTTTTCTCAGCACCGCTGTTTAGGTTTGTATTCTCGTCGACGGCTGCGCTGCTCGGCGGCGGCATGGCGAAGATTGGCTGATTTGTGGTATTGTTTTGCTGTTGTTGGCCAGCTTGTGGTTGACACGTGTAACATTCATCGTCGAATTCATACTCCTGTTGACAGACAAACATTTCAAATCGCATTAGTACGCACGTATGTACAAATATTTGCAAATATTTTCAAATTCAATTAAACCTCCTACAGTGTTCATGAAGACTTACACAAATAGTATTTTCTACTTGCATAGAACCGGCTAAAAAAATAAATGCATACCTTTGGAAATCGCTGTATAATACAAGGTTTTTAAGCTTATTATATGAAAGGATGTAATAATTAATATGGAAATACAAAGAAAAGTTAAAATGTATTTGCAGAATTCAATTAATTTGATTCGAGTAAGATAGAAATTAAAAAAAGTTATACACAGGGTGATTCACTTAAATTGAACATTCAAGTTATTTCTGTTACTACGAAAGGTATGAAAAAATGACAAAATAGTATTTAAAATTGTTTCGTTCTACCAAACATCACTTTAATAATTTTCATTTCATTGATGCTTTCTGCAAATTAACGTTACTTTTTGTAGCAATGTTATTCATAATATCATGACGCTAAGATGATCATGGCAATCAAAGAATGAGGTAAAGTTTAAGAAATTCAAAAACGGTGTAACTTATTTTATTTCATTACAAATGCTTAATGTGTCGAAGACCGTTCCGCATTTTTTAAATTACAACTCATTTTTTAATTGTCAAGATCACCTCAAGATCATCATATTGTAGGTCACTGAACTCGTTTTGATGCAAACAACAACATCGCACTAGGAACAATTAATATGGAAAAAAATGTCGACAACCTTGAAAAACATCATTACAACCACCCTGGTATAACGATTCATTTTTTCATACCTTTAGTAGTAACAAAAATAACTTAAATATTCAATTTAAATGAATCACCCTGTAGAAGCCTAATATATGATCTGGGCAAGGTTCGCAGAGAAATAAGTCAGATCTGGCTTTGAAGGAGTGAACATTATAATTCCGAACTCCGATCATGCGGAGGTCCTGCGTCTCGTCGCGATCGTACATGCGTCACCAATCCCCACTCATTCAGAGCCAGATCCGACTTATGTCTCTGTAAACGCTGGGTTTGGTTCATATAGTCCCATAGGGAGGTTAAGTTTTACTACACACACGTAGAAGAAGCTCATATACGTATAAGCAACTTGCCAGGATTTTTTCCTACCAAAACTGAAGCTACACTATCGAAATAAGCGGTTCAGGAGTGGCAAATTATGATTTCTAAAAATCCAATCTACGTCAACCCAGTCTCATGCTCCATTGTACGTTATTATGGAGTAATTTGTAATACTCGACAGTAGACGAGACCTGTCACGAGACTTTCGAAGCAAGCCAGACGTCCCAAGATGATCACCGCTGACAGATTTTCTTAAATATCGAGAGATTTAACGTTCGTATAGAAAGAAATAAGATCGGGTCGACGTAGCTAGGTCGTATACAAAGACGGTAGTGTGTATTTTTAGTTGATTACTTACTTATTTAAAGGCGAAAATCTAGGAGAAAATAAAACACCATCCCAAGGTACCGACATTTTTCACTACCAGCGCCACTGTTTCTTTGAAACCAAAAACTCCATCGCAGATGAGTTCGTCTGTGACTTTAGGTAGGGAAAGTGTGTGATCAATAATGCAGGCGGATAACATAGGTTGTTAAGTTACCTACGATCATACTCACGTATTTTTTGTATAACTTTAACATTACGTCAAATATTTAAATAAATATCCATTGAAAGGAAAAAATTCTTTACGGTATATTAAACTAGATGATTCTTTTTGTATTTTTTAATTATGTTTTGGCAACGTCTTATACTAAATCAGAAGTTTCTTGTATTTTGACATTTATATACTCGACTTTAATATACTGTAAAGTATATTTTTTCTCTTCAATCTAAATTTATTTATATATAAATACATGGCGTAAAAGTCAAAGTTATATTAGTGTTCGAATACTTTCGTGGATGAGTGTATGTAACATTCGTGAAGTCCCGCTTGCTTCGGGAGTCTCACACGTCGTGAAAAGCAATATGCTGCCGACTGCCGAATATTAAAGATTCCTTCACAATATTCTAAAAGTGGGCATTTTGAAGACGACTGAGGCGTAGATTGGATCGTTAGGAAACATAATTTACCACTCTCGACCTGCTCACGTCGATAGTAGAGCGTCAGTATTAGTTGGAAAACTTCTGGCAAGTTTGATACGTATCTCGGACGTTACGCTTGCTTCGGAAGCCTCGCGAGTCGTGAAAGGGAATATGCTGCCGATTGTCGAATATTAGAGATTTCTGTACAACAACCTAAAAGTGGACATTTTGGAGACCGCTGAGGCGTACATTGGACTTTTAGGGAATATAATTTACCACTTTCGATCTGCTTACGTCGATAGTGAAACATCAGTATTGGTTGCAAAATAGCCTGGTAAGTTTCCTATGTATCTTGTGATGTCACGATTGCTTTAGAAGATCGTGATCAGTGCAGTCAGGAAAATAACTACGCAAAGCGACATATGCACAGGGATTCCTGCAGAGCGGCGTGGGGCATCTACCGGACGATCATTATAATTCTAAACTACGATCGGACACAGATTCTGCGTCGCGTCCCCATCGTAGTTCAGAATTACAATGTTTAACCGGTAGACAACACACACTTGTTGTGCTGGACTCTCAGCGCATGAGCTGCCATTTTTTCTGGCTGCTTGCTCGTGACTCGTGACTCGTGACTAGGGCTCGCAGGCCGTAAAAACTTTCAGAACTTGTCCCTTCTTGTCTAACTATTGTCAACGCAAAAGAAGCTAAAAAGGACTATGCTCCTACTCCTACACCTTTTCCTTTTCCTTTGCCATTAGGAAAGTGGGCCAAACCATGAAAAAAAGCCGGCCAAGAGTCAATCTTGGGAAGTCATGAATATGGTTCAAATAAATTACAATACTATTAAAGTACACTTCGAAGTATAAGAAACAATAAAAATTAGCAAGAAGAATAATTATAAAAGCAATTTTTCGTAATTTATATGGCTTGGCACATAATGCTGTTATGTCACGATTGTGTCTGATCTTATTGTTTGCAACTCTTTTGATTATCGAAAATGGTACTTCTATGATTAATTAATATTATCTGTGTTGGTGTAATTCTTATGATCGTATATGAGCATACGCACAGCTTGAAAAATATACAAAGGGCCTAGCCCTTAAGATGGTCCATTAAGATCATTAAGATGGTCAAAATTGCCCTTAGAGGTTTTTCAATTACTATTATACCGTTCGATGGCTGACCAAGAAAAACTCAACTGTGCAAAATNATTTATCAATTCTTTATCCTTTGGCTCTGCTGGGTCTGCTACAATCGTCCAATTCGAACCGCATCTGCCTCCAAGAAAAACAAAAGGGCCTAGCCGATTAAGATGATAAAAATTTCTCTTAGTGGTTTTTTAATGAGTATTATACCGTTCTATAGCTGACCAAGAAAAACTCAACTGTGCAAAATTTCAACCCTGTAACTTGTTCGTGAGGGTAGATTGCGCACTTTTCCGCCCATTTCTCCCCTTCGGTGGTTTTTTAAAATCTTGAAAAAAATGTGACCTATTTTGGACATCAAGCCGCATATTATACAATTTTTTCAGATTTTCCGGTTGAAGGCTGTGGTTATCAAAAATGGAAAACCAAAAAAATCGAAAAATTGAAGATTTCTCGAGAATAAAAATATGTGCTTTTATATATTAATTCCCTGATAAGGTACTATCGTAAGAAGTGCATTCAATTTTTCTCAGATTTTTCGTTTGGTTGAGTCATTGTAAAAAAGAATGAAACTGGATTTCGACGATTTTTTTTATCTGGATTTGTCGACGTTTTTGCTGTGAGGAAGAAAGTTGTTGGGTTTATCGTAAGTGTAGATTAAGTAATTTTAAAAACGTAATTACATTGAAACAAGCAATTTTTTAACCTAGAAAATGCGATTTAAGGTAAAGAAAAAATTGTAATGTGCGTGATATATATATATCGAATTGTTCGTAATGCTTACGACATCGTTGGTTGGCAGAAGGTCTTCGACTCCGGAACCGCCTACGCTGGGGTTCGCCTCCCGTTGGAGGCAAAATTTTTTTTCGTAAAACACACTTTATTTTTCCAATTTCATATTATATGTTTTATTCACATGATTTTAAAAATATTTTTATAATGTTCCAAAAAAATTTTTTTAATACTTGAAAAATATTTAAGTCAAAATACATACAAAAATAGTTTTGGAGTATCTCTTATTTTATCGATTCTATAGCTGTATATATCAAAGTTTTTGTAATGTTAAATAAATACAAATTACGTTAATTTTAAAGTGTGCTATCTTTTTGTCGCTCACTGTGTATCTCTAGTTTTATATGAAAATCATGGTTTTGAACATGTATTCTATATACACGTGTATAGCTCAGAGTATGTAATTGTTAATACACATATCCATGTGTATATCTGCTTTCAACTACACTTGAAAATTTTGAAACTTTATTCTACATAAAATAATCATATATAATAAAATATGAATATAGTAGCGCATACATACATGTTTAATTATCCATTGAAATACACGGGTGAACGTGTACCAAAATTGGAATATACACGTACATTGGAATACACGTGTGCACATAATAAAACTGTCTCCGTCTGTTCATAAAGTTTCGGACCTTCTGTTGTAAAAAAATTACATCTTACCGATTGAAAAGTACTGTGAATAGTAAAGTAAGCAATTCAAATTCAGATATTTTTCATAAATTAACACTCCATTTAAGCCCATTTATTTCTTTATACCATTAGAAAACTGAAAAACTTAAAAAGAAAGTTCCATCTAGAGTGCTACTATTGCTTTTAGATGACCCAGTCGACAATATATGATATGATTCAGATCTCCGAAACTAGTTTTATTTATATGTATTTTGTTTTTCCATTTTATTTTATATTTTGTTAATTTTTTATAATTATTTTTTTATTTATATAGGAATACTCGTTTTGTATTGATGGTATATATGCATATCAAGTATGA